CTGTTTTCAGTCCAAAATTATGTATAATTATATGTGATGATGATTTTCAAAGACTCTAAGCAAAGTTGATGTTGACACCTCACCATCAAACTTTCAAGTCTACTTTATGTCAGCTTTATGTCTATTTTAAGTCATATCTACTTTTCTAAAACTACTTTATTAAAGTAATTTTATTAAAGTAACTTTAAATCAAATTAGTTATTTAGTCATAAACTTTAATCATGATATAGTCCTATTTGGTTACTATTTATTTACTTTTTCTTTGTATAAATTGTATGCTCCTTCTCTTAGAAGGAACAAGTTTTAAGCTTGAAAGTCCTCTTCCTCAAGAAGTTCTCTTTTTAAGAAATTCGCTTATAAAATATGTTTAGCTAAAAACTCTATTCTCTTTTGATAATTCCTTCCTCCTTCTTTAATAGTTAAGATCAGAACTAGAGATGCCCCTTCTATTCTATGGTTTATAGTTATACAAGTTAAATATACTCTGTAGTTTTCATAGTATTGTGAATCTCTACATCAGAAAGCCTTATAAAATTATAAAACGAATCACTAATCTACTCTCTTAACCAAAGATAAGTTACTATACCAAGATCTTATTGAAATAGGCTACCATAGTGAAAAATATATCTCCATAAAAGTTAGGCCATCAATTAGACGTCATACCAAGATGACGTTTAGTCTTGAACATCAGCTAAAATACATTGGTTTTATGTCTAAACTATAAACTGGTTATATTTGGTATTGTCTTATTAGGCCAATCGATCTCCTACTGTATTACAAGTAGTTTTGTCAAGACTCTACTCCTGAAAAATCTGAAATTGAAAATCGTCAGTTATTAAAGTCGAGGACATCACTATCCTTGTATCTAGAATGGTATTAGAGTATAGGAACAATTGTATCTTACCATTAATTAATGTATGATTTCTTCCCTGATTTTTTACATTATCAGGCCATAGACTATAGATAACTTTTGTCTGTGAAAACATCCTGTTACGTTATAGCAAGGTCCTTGGATTCCAGCTATTCCACGGCCCACATACTAAGACGTCAACATGTAAAATTTCCAGGTGGATGAAGCAAATTCCAAAAAGGAAAGCAGAAAACAGAGAAGTGGAAATTTCATTGAGGTTCATGGAAATTTTATATGGCTTACTTCTAACAACAGCACAAGTTAGTTTCTTTAGGGATCATCCTTCGGTCCATCAAAAAAACATTGAGGATACTGATCAAATGCAATTTCTCTTTCACTCTCGGAACCGAGAAGCTGACACGTTGCTTGACAAACGACTTGTAGATTGTTGGCAAACATATCACATAGTCCACGTTCAGCATGAAGGGCGCATTCGTCATCAACCCTGACACTCTATTCTGTTTCTCAAACAAAAATCCAAAACTGATTTGTTGTACAGAACTAATTATTCGGCCTAAAGGGGAATTTATCCTTTGTTAATTACCAGTACGTTCATGGCACCAGCTTTGAAATGATGTGAATGTTTTGGCCGTTTCTCCCTCGAAATGTAAACCAAAAGTGGTATATCATCATCCGAAAACTTTGCTTGTTCTCTCCTACGGCGATATTATTTCATATTTGTTAAATATTAAAATTTTTATAATTTTATATTTAAATTAATTTTTTTATTTATTATCATCAATTGATTTTAAATTAAATTATTAGTATAATATCAAAACTGAAGTTTTATTTTAAGATTCTCATATTAAATCTTTTTAAATTTATCATATAATAATTATATATACACATAATGAATGTACATTAAAATGATGATATCTTACGTATGTTAAATATTATATCTTTATAATCTTATATTTAAATTAAAGTTTTTATGTCCGTTATCAATTTATTTTGGATTAAATGCTTATCAATGATGATTTCAAATTTAATAACAAATCATAATAATTAACTATGTTAAACAATCACCATTTCCCGTAGAATTTAACCATGATAAACAAAATACCGATTTTTATATTTTCTTCTTCCGATTGAAATAATATACATAATTTTGTTTCGATTAATTAGAACAGGGGGAACATTTCAAACTTAAAGACAATCTTTTTCTACAACGAGACAATGAATTGTTTTGAGATATAAATGAGTTACCTTGATAATCGTTGGATGGTTGCTGCTTTCAACATTGGAGAAAACAGCAAACTCACCAGTCAGATCACATGGAGCTGATTTTCGGCCTACTTCCTATATTTTTAGGCTACCGTGCTCATACTCAGCCTAAACGAAACAAATTAAGATAAGTTAAATGTTAGTGCTCTTAAGATAGTCCGGAGAGGAGATTAGCCTTTTTAATCGCATTATTAGAAAAACAAATAGTTAATTTTGCTCTCCTCTGCTTGTTTTTTTCTTTCTCGCCCAACTTTGGAATTGCGTACCTTCATCTTTTTCCAATCTTGTTTGAAGTCAGAATTTGCGTAGGATCGTCCAAGAAGTATCTAAAGGGAGCCCTGAGTGCTTAGAGTGGTATCCAATGCTCTTTGGATAATGTTTCTACGATCAATTTTTTCATACAATGGGAGACAGAATTCCTTGGGCGCCATAGCAGAGTGCTTAGAGAGCAGCTATAATATGAGTGTCGTGTTCATGAAAGATTTTGTGACCTCCTTAAATTTATAATTGTTACATTTCTATGCTATTTATGTTGTTATAAATGAGTTATTTTTTACATGAAATTTTTTAATTTTATGAACGAAATTAAAAAATTATCATATGTCTCATTTTTTTAATTATTTTTTATTTTATACTATACCTTAAAAAAGATGTATCACGTGAATATGATAATTTCTCCTAAAATAGCCCCACACTTGAGATAAATTTGTTATTTTTACATGAGAAATTGATGTGCCATGATAGATTTTTTTATCTTTACACGTAAAATATGTCATTAATAAATTCATTGTCTCTACATTTGAGAGAAAATATTAAGGTGAAAATAAATGAAATCTCACATAATTTAATTTTCAAAAAGACGTGCGTCTACGACATGATATTTTCAAACTCAACATGTGCTTAGGTTAATGGCAATTTTCAAAACTAAAAGTTTGGCAGATGAAGATGATCAAGAACGCCTTTTTTTGGTAAAATGATTATAAATTTAAAGTAATTTCCATCCACATATATTTGTCTTCTTACTTTCCCGTATATTGGCGATCTGTATCTGTATTTTTCTGTACTTTTCATTGCTTTCCGTTTTCATGACATAAAAGAAAATAAATGACATATGCAGTGATGTCTCTCGCACCAGAAGTTTGGAACAAAACTCTGAAAATTTAAAAGAATGAATTTTAATTTTAAAAATTTAAGTATTAAACTTATGATATAAAAATGGTTTTTTTTATTATTTTTTAATTATATTTTAAATCAATAAATTTTTATATTTTTATTTATATCTAAATAAACTCTTATTTCACTAGTAAAAAAAGTTATGTTAAAGATTTATTTAAGTATAAATTAAAAATTAAGAATTTATTTAAATATAAATTAAAAGGTACATATTTATTTGGATGTAAATTATAATTTAAAAGTTGATTTGAGTGTAAAAATAATATAAGAATTTATTTAGATAAAATAATAAATTTTAAAATTTTTTAAAATATTTTAACAAATATATTACTGAAAATTAAATTTTTAGTAAATTAAATTTTTATTACTAAAACAATTTTCGTAGGAAGAGAAAAGACATAGAGCGAGTACAAAACAAACAGTTAATTAGAAAAGCTCAGAATTATTTTACTTTACTTAAAAAAGTTTTTATACATTTATTAATATCTAATTAATTCTTATCTTTAATTTATATTTATATAAGTTTTTATTTTAAAAAAAAGATTAATTTATATTAAAAAACTTATTTAAGTATAAATTAAAGATTAAAAATTTATTTAAATATAAATTAAAAGTTAAAAATTTATTAAAATACATTAAAATGTAAAAATTTATTTAAATATAAAATTAAAAATAAAAATTAAAAATTTATTATTCTACCTTTCAAAATTCCACCCACAAAATTCCTAAAGTCATCATAATTTTTCCGAAGTACTCTTGAGCTGAACAAAGTTATAGCCACTACTTGGCAGTGTCTGATTGTTGTTTCTGCAGCGTTTTGAACGTGCAAATTAAAATTTGTGCCAATTCGTCTGCTCCTGGCAGATGAATTATATGATCAATTATTTGTAGCAAAAAGGACCACATACCAGTTGTCACATGCAGTTTTGTTCTGCCACGATTTTATATATTAACCATTCTTTAATACTCTCATCAACAAGGAGAAATTATTATTATTTTTTATTTTTTGGGCTTTAACTCCATTCCATGTGTACGGAAGGTAGATTAATTTTAAGAATTTTTATGGGCAGCCGAATACTAATTAAGGTTGATTACACATTCCATCGTCTAACTTTTCAAAAATTTTATTTTAGTTATTTAATTTTAAAAAAATAATTACATTTTGCTTATCTATAATTTATAAGTGTTACTATTTTGATCATTGGACTTTTTAAAAATAATAGACTTGTCACTTGAAGTCTCATCATCACCTTGAAATCCCATTAATTAAGTGTTGTCCAATTTCCGAACTCTGACAAGTGGAGGACAAAAATAAAAGTTTTAAAAGATTTAGAGATAAAAAAATAATTTTGCTAAAAAAATCTAACATTGAATATATAAAATTATTTTCGATTAAACAAATAATAATTAGTGCATTGGAATTATTTCAAAAAGTAACAGCTCTCCACTTAAAATTTCAGTATCATCTTTAAACTTGGATTATTGTTTTGATTGGGCCAACCAGTTTCGAGATTGAAAAATCATATCCGAAACCCAACTTATGTCGGGTCAACTTGCCCGCGAATAATTCTACAAAGAAGTGGGAACTAATTTTTTGGGCCTAAAGCTCAAATTGGGGCCCATTTTAGTTTATGAAACTCTTTCAAACGAGGTCGTTTTGAGAGTGGCCTCAGTTTATCTAAACATGACGCCATTAAAAGTTGTTGCGTTAGAAGTGGGAAAGCAGTATGTTAGCGGCAGCAGCTGTGGTGTCTTCATCATCTACCAGAATCTTCTTTAAAAATCTATTTCTCAAGCCCTCTTCCTTCACCCTTCCACGCGCATCCTCTCCCTCTGCTACCCGTTTTTCGATCCGATCAATGGCTGACTCTGCTTTTAAGAAAGTTCAGATTCAGAGAGAAGACACTGTCAGTTCAACTTTTCCTTTTCCTTTCCATTTTTTTAACAGTATTTATGTTATGTGTTTCGCATTTCTGATTGATTTTGATTGTTGGGTATTTGGTATCTTTGTCGAAATGTTAATTTTTGAGTTGTATAAAATGTTGGTTGGAGTCTGTTTGGCTTTTATTTGTGCTTGTGCATAGTAATTTTATGAATTAAAAATAAAAAATTGATGCTTTTTGGAAAACACAATGCATGATTTTATTTTAATATAAGACTAATCATGTTGCATTTAGTGGTGAATTTTAGTTATTTGTTCATTTTCAATCAATTAGCATTTGTTAAAGAAGTAGAAAGTAAATAGCAAAAGCAAGTAGCAAAAGCAACAAACCAAACGGAGCATTATTTGATTTGGGTTGTTCTCATTTCATCTATACTGTCTTTTGTAATAATGTATTGATCAGGCTTTTGATGCATATGTGGTTGGCAAAGAAGATGCACCTGGAATTGTTGTTCTTCAGGAATGGTGGGGTGTGGATTTTGAGATAAAAAATCATGCCGTGAAGATCTCTCAACTGGGCTCGGGATTCAAAGCTCTTATTCCAGAGTAAGCATTTCATGCCACATTTGTTTTTCTTTTGGCTCAATTGTCTTAAACTTTGATCACCTGGCATTTGCTGCATTTGAATTGTAATTCTTTTTTCATTTCTAACCTTTGTTTCAGTTTGTATCGAGGAAAGGTGAGTCTGGATGTTGCAGAAGCACAACACCTAATGGATGGTCTTGACTGGCAAGGTGCTGTCAAGGATATCCATGCTTCGGTTAACTGGCTTAAAGCTAATGGCTCAAAGAAGGTGTGCACTGGTTATTGGTTTTCCCTTTTGTTAATGCCCTATGCTTGCTTAAAACATGTTTAAAGTCTAGACATTTCACCGTGTGGACTGCTCTGGCAACTTATTTGACTGAGATAGCTGAAACGAATATATGAAGCTAATTTAAATTTAGTACATTTCTTTTGGTTGGATGGCTAAGTGAATGGAGAAGCTGAGAGAAGATAAAATATTGCAGGCTCATCCAGTTTTTTAAAAGGAGGTTCAAGAGATTTAGATATTGCTAATTCTTTTCTATCTTTTCTTTAAATCTGAATATATAGTGGATCAATGAGACAATGATTTCATAATTGCAGTTTACCTCAATTATTTCCTTATCACATTTGTTAAATCCAACAACAGAAAGTACATCAACTTCATCTCCAATGCCTTCACAACTCTTCTCTATTAAGTTTTATTATTTCCCTTCAGACTTTAGTTCCTCTAAGTTTAGCTGCCAAAAAGAGTTAAGATTCTCCTGTAAAATTTTAAAGTATTTTATTATTGAATATGTACCATAATTTGGAGCTAAATCTTTTGTTAGTTTGTTTTACGACTGTTATGAGCCTCTGGTTTCTGTTGAAGGTGAATATCTTGATCACCCTGTTTTGTTGACCAAACTGTAATGCAACATCAGGTTTATTACATCTGTGCTGCTTTATTTAAACTTTTGGATAGAGTATAAACATTGGTCAGTGAGCAATCTCTGATTTCATTGCAACAGGCTGGAGTGACTGGGTTTTGCATGGGGGGTGCTCTCTCTATTGCAAGTTCTGTTTTAGTTCCTGAAGTTGATGCTGTTGTTGCCTTTTATGGGGTTCCTTCACCTCAACTTGCAGACCCTGCCCAGGCCAAGGCCCCTGTTCAAGCTCATTTTGGTGAACTTGATAACTATGTTGGATTTTCAGATGTGACGGTATGGCAAAATATTTTTATTCTCTCAGTTTTAAATTTTATCAGTTGTTTCCCATCATATCTTGAAATTAGTTTCATGTTTGTACCAAGTTTTTAAAGTTACTACATTGGGAATGGCCCTTAAGGTTTTTTTTTTTTTTTAATACTTGAAGCTGCTAGGATTTGAACCCTCGTCACTGTAATTAAAAGTCCATCACTCTACCAACAGACCATGCGGTTGCTGGCTGCCCTTAAATTGTTTCGTACTTTCTTTGAGAACAAAATATTTTCAGCCACCAGGCATGCCATAATGACGGTTTAGTTGCTAGATTCAGTTGCAAATTTTTGTAGAAAAGCCACCAATGATATTGCCAAAAAGCTTAAGTCCCAATTCGGTTGAAAGTGCTATGTTTCAACTATTAATTTGGTTAGTTATTCGGGTATAAGAATATTTTGCTGGATAAGTACTCTTCAATTCCCTGTTATGTTTGGCTTAAAATAAACAAATTAGTAAGAAGTAGCATATTCAAATATAATAATTTCCGATTAAAGATTTTTTAAAAAAAATTAAGACTATACTTTTTGTCTAGCATGAACGTAGATTTTTTATTTTCAAATTTTGGTGTTCATTTCTTTTTGGTTTTTTCAAATATACTTCTATATTTAAATCCTTCACAGTTTTTTTATTTTCTGCTTTGAAAGTAAAAAATTAAGTAGCCACAGCAATAAACAATCAGAGTGGTTATATCAACGGAATTATAGCTGACAAATAACACTTTTGGATTGCTGATTTTTCAGGCTGCAAAGGCTTTGGAGGAAAAACTGAAAGCATCAGGGACTCCATTTGAGGTACATATTTATCCAGGCAATGCACATGCCTTTATGAACAGGTCCCCAGAAGGTATAAAGAGGAGGAAGGGCATGGGAATGCCTGATGAGGATGAAGCTGCAGTCCAGCTGGCCTGGTCTCGCTTCCAGTCATGGATGACTCGTTTCTTGTCATCTTAATCTACTGTGGTACTTTATTATGTCGTGTGCTTCATGTTGATAATATAAATATAATATGAATGTCTGGAATATGCTGCCATATATACTGAGACAGAGGATTGGTTGGAAGACAGCTTTCAAAACCAATCTGGGTGTCTAAAATAATCGTAATGTTTGCTTTTTTTTTTGCTTCTCTTTTTCATATTTGGTTTGGCTGGTTTATCTTATGTTTGACCTTGGATTTGTCATCCTTTTTATCTAGGTTGTACTATTTGGCTGCAAATTTGTCTTTTCTTTTCCCTTAAACCATTGTGTAAATTTTTGTTTTAGGAAAGTTAAGCTGCAAGCTGGGAACAAAATTCTTAGTTTGTGAACTGCATATTAGGTTTTCTGAGGTTCACCAAAATAAAGGGGGATTGGAGAACAGTGATGTTGGAGCTGAAAATTTCCTAGTATGTGCAAATGTGATTTTCATTTGGATGATAAGTTTAGTCTTCACTCGTGTTGGAATTGGATTGACTATGGAAATTTGGAGTGTGAACTCAAGAGGATATTCCAACATCTTTGATGGAAACATAAGCAAATTGCATGCTCGAGTAAGACAGCCAAGACTTTGGGGAGAATTCATCATTATTTCGGGAATGGCTTTCTATTCCACTTGATTGTCTTCGACGTCGAACCCATTTACTAATTTTCATTTCGAATCGTTGGCCTTAGTAAATCATACTTTTAGTAACAATATATTTTTGTGTAGAAAATTATCACATACGATGGCGGTGTTTTGCACTTGGGGGAATGTATTAAAACTAAGAGTTCATTGCTCGATTACTAATTTCAGAAAAAAAAATTGGCACTTCAGGAAATGATAGGCTGCATATCTCACTTTTTAATTTTTGTATATATATATATATATTTGAGGATATTAAAAATTAAATTTTAATTATTAAATTTAAAAATTCAATGTTCAAATAGTAATTTCATCTTCGAACTTCTAGCCAAAAATAAAATTTTCTATCTTTAAAAATGAAATTTATCCCAAAAGGGAAAGTTGAAGCAAAAATGATGGTGTAAGGTAGTGAAGAGTGAAGAATCCTGATAAAAGAAGTCATTTTCATTTGGTAATCTTTGGTATGAGATAATCAGAAAATTATAATAATTTATATATGATATTTAGATTTTTGTATTTGATAAACATTCAATGATTTTATATGACAGTGAGAATGATTTAATTTTTATAAGAGAAAATTTTATCACTGTAATAAAGTGATATATAAATTAATAATAATAAATATTACACATTTAACATGTGAATTAAAAGTATGCTTTCTCCTATAATTGTAATTACTTTTTAAAGGACAATTATAATTATTTTATATTATAAATTTTTATTTTTTTAAATTAATATTCACTGTAACAATTCTAAAAATAATGTGTTTTTTACTTTTATTTGAATATTTATATATAATATAATCTTTTTTTTTATTATGAATTTAATAGATTAATTTTATTTTTAATTCAATTTTTTATTAATTTATATTATAAAAATTAATTTATCTATCAATAAATACATTTATTAATTTATTAATTTAATTATATTTATTATAAAGTAAATAAAATATTATTAATATTTTACAAATTATTATCTATAAACAACATTAAAATTATTAATTTGTGTAACTATTATAATACACATTATTATTTTCATATTTTTAAACCAAATAATATTTATTTTTAGTAATACCAAAAATAATAATATTTAATTTCTAAAAATTAATGAAAGTTAACAAAATAAAGTAATTTCAAATCATAAGTGATAAGATCATATTAATAATAAAATTACTTCATTGATTACATTACTACAATAATCTAACAAAAATACAAAACCCTATCTTTTTGTTTGTTTTGTATAAATTGCACATGACACCTTCCTTTTCCTCCCTAATTTCACACAAAAGTTAGCCACCGCCACAAGAAATAAACTTTGTTCTGTTCTTATCATAATTCAGGTGACCGTGGCATCTTATCCGAACAACTTATTGGACTCTAACACACAACAATGACTTCTTGACCTTATCCACACTGCTTTCTCCTTTGCTTAATTTTAGGCATTAATGAAAAATATTCCTACCTATCATAACTTTTTCTATGTGATGATATGTAAAGTTTCAGTGAAAAATGTTTTAATTCGAATGTCCGATTATGCACAAAAAATAATAACTCATAAAATTATTATTTGTTATTTTCATGCCATCTTTGATTAGTTGAATAATCAAAATGTCTGACAAAATATTAGCATTATTCATTTACAATTACGAAGTGAAAGTACCACATCAATTGGTCAAATTTTTGCAACATATCCAATATACTTAACCAACACATCTCCTTCTTGAAAAAAAAAAAGAAAAAAAAAAAAAAGAACAACAACAACAATCAAATTAAAAAGAATAATGTTTGTCCTCGTGGGAGGATATATCCCACAATTCCAATTTTTTGCAATTAAGAATTTCAGAATCTTCAATCATGTTATCAGTGAAAAATCGTTTGTGAAACTAATTTCATGGGGAATTTAATTCTATGTGTAAAATACAATATTATTTATTTTAATTTTGAAACAAAACCATGTGGGTGAAGATCATATGCTTGATTAATGCAATGATTAACCAACCCAATTCTATTATAAATGCATAAAAAAAATGGGAAATTACAATGAAGAAATGGGCTAAGAAGTATTTGTTAGGTCAGAACCTGAATATATGAATATATGTAACCCTAATATAATTAAAGTTCGTGTTAGGGCTAAAAATGTAATTATATTAATCAATGAGCAGCTCAATATATATGCAGGCAAATCTTGATTTGGGGTTCCTTTTTCCCCCAAACTTTCTGACTTGAGAACAAGTGTTGAAAGCGATGCGAGAGGGGGCAGAAACTTTAGAACAAGCAGGGTGGAGCAAGTTGATCAAATGGAGAAATTTGAGGATTCCTTGGACCGTATACCAACTTTACATTTAGTTTGGTCCAACTTTTCACTAGGTTTCAAATTCAAATCGAAATCGAAATCAAAATCAAATGGACCATTAATCTTTTTCTACGCTTTTGATATGTTTTCTTATGCTTTGTTTGTTTCTCATTTACTTGGTTATGTGTTATCTCAAAATATTGGTTAACTTTTTGTTTCTTATGATTTTATAGTCAAATTATCAGGTCTTTTACTTATATAATGAATTAATTTTAAATTATATGCTTATATTTAAATTTGTCACATGATAAATTTTTTTTTTGTTTCGATTAGGTTTATACGTGAGAGGTATTAAGTAATGTTTTTGTTTTATATATATCAATGGAAGTTCAAGCCTAAAGGAGAGTTGAGAAAATTTGTAAATGCTATATGTTAAACTCTAATCTTACGATAATTCATCTCTTAATATATATCGGCGAATTATTTAAAATAAAATTTTAATTTTAAATGGTATTAGTAAGAATTATCTAAATGTTATTGTATCTCTTCATTTATTATTAATTAATTTTAAGCTATTGCTTAATAATTAGATTTACTTTTATACATAGATTTTTAAATAAAAAATTGACATTAAATGGAAAAAAATAATTAACTTGTACATATATATATATATATTATGCAGTTATGTTATTTTTTATCATTATATATTTATTTATTTTTAACCAATTAAGGTTTTGTTACTTATATGTGAGAAAGAACTATAAGTGTAAGTTGCAAATTAAATTGATAAAGTGACAAATTAACCCTCAATAAACGGCTTTTGAAGGAAACACTGGAGCTTCAGTTAGATCACTTGAGTTAGAGTCTAATTTAGAGTAATGCCAAAAAATCCTAAAAAACCAATAATAATTTAGAATAGTAGATGCGGTTGGTCTCATATTTTCTAAGGATTGGTTGTTGAATGTGAACCAAATTCTAAGAAATTTTGCTGCATGGAGTACTGCTACAATTACTCATGCTTTCACACTTAGTTCTTATTGAACTCTCATTCTTCCATTCGTATGTAGCATGTGATAATTAATTGGGCCACTCTTTCAAAATTTATTTGATATTTAGCTTTTTTTTTTTTTGTCTTTTGGATTATTATTGGGATTTAAATCCAAAATTTTTAATTTTAAAATCGATTTGAATATCTTAACTTTAATATAATGTGAGCATAGAAATACTTTTTAATTTTAATTTAAATAATAAAATAAAGAGCCTTTCGTAATGCTTATGTATCAAATTGTTTGGACATCAAATATTCCTGTTATAATAATAATAATAATAATAATAATAATAATAATAATAATAATAAGCCGGTCCTTATCTTTGACCTTTAATTTCATCAAATTAATTGTATGTATGATGACATCTTACAACGCTTTGATATATTTGAGTACTATAATTGACCGATTCATGAATTGCGGTCCGTCAAATCAGATTTGGTTTGTCTTTTGAAATTTTTGCTTTTGGTTTAATCTGATTTGTCGGGAACTCAAAAAATATTTTTAAAAATATTAAATTGTTAAAATATATATTAATATATTAATAGCTTTAATTCTATTAAAAATCTTAATATTTTAATGTTTTAATTTTTAAAAATTTAAATTTAAATAACAAAATTTATTAATTAAATAATATTTCGAGTCAAACAATTAGACAGCCAGATCCGTGGTTGCAATTCAAAGGGTGCTTCCCATTTGTCTGATCTTTAACTACATAATATTAAGTTGTTATATACCTTAAGCTATTTGTTTTTAAGGGGAGCATTTCAATAGTTAAAACGTCTTAATTTTAACGTTATATTTGAATAAATATTAGTAAAACAAAAAAAAAGTTAAAAAAAAAAGATGATAAGATTTTTTAAAGTATAGTACTTTTTGTTTGGATAGATAAAATTAATAAAAAAAAGTAAAAAAATCTTAACAATTATTGTTTGGTTAAATAATTGAAATGAAAAAAATAATTTATAATATTATTTTTTATTATAATTTTTGATAATTTTTTATTACTATAACATTTATATGTTTATGTTAATGTATTCCATATTTTCAAATTTTTTTATTTTTTTATAAAAATAATCATCAATAAAATTTATTGAATTTAAAAAAATAAGAGAAAAAAATTGAAGACAATAAATTTATTGATAAATGATATTTTATATTTTTAATTTAATTTTAAAATTCAAAATCATATATTTTTAATTTAAAAAAATTAATAAAGATATAATAATCATTTTATATTTTAAAAATTTTATTCTTTTCCTTTTCCTTCATTTTCTTCCAATTTGAACTAATTAAAAAATTAAAAAAAATTAAAAAAAAAAATCAAAGAGAATTAAGCATACATTCTTTTATTTTATTTTATTTTATTTTTATTTATATCATATACAAATAAAAAAATAATTCCTTATTTTTTTTATTTTCTTTCCATTCCTTTTCTTTACCCCAATTCAACCATAGGCTATATGAAAATTTCAAGTTTGAATTTTAAGTAGAGCAGCACGTGACTAGTGACCTGGGTTGTCACGTGAACGATGACATGGCAGCGAGCTCGCTATCGAGCTAGTCCCTCAACACACAACTAACACTTAACCAGTTCGAAATTCCATGAACATATTGGATCCTTGGTCCTTGATTATTTCTAACTCTAACAAATAGAGTATTTTTTTGTTTGATTAAAATTTTAAAGTATTACTCGTCGGTAAGTATTTAGTATTTATGTTTTTATTATATCCAATAAAATTTTTATTTCAAATCAAAGATTGACTTTTGTAACAATTTATACCGATTGAGATTTTTTTTTTCCTACATAGAAGCTGATGTAGCCTAATAATGTGGTTAAAAATTAAAAATAATATTTCTTGAAATATAAAATATAATTTGTTATAAATTAAAAGTAAAAATTTATTGAGATACACATTAATGATTAAAGATTTATTTCTTAAATAATAAAAATTACAAATTTATTTTAATGTAATAAAAATATACGAAGTTACCTAAAACATGCTAAAGTTATTGGGCTTTTTATTTTAGCCTATTTTATCTAATTAAACTCTAAGAATATTATTTTTATTTAGCTAAACCTTTATTCTTCCAAAATAGGGACTTAATTAAATAAAAATAATACTTTAGAGACTTAATTAGGTACAATATAAATGCTTATTTGATAATTTTGAAAAAATACAAGTCTTTTTAGTATTTTAGCTATTTTTCACTTATGTTAGTCCAATAGTTCGCGATAATATAAAACATGATATGGTTCTTCTATCCTCTAATTAGAATTTAAATTTAAAACACCATAACTTTTTTAATTCATTAATAAATATAATCCTATCAATACATACATACATACATATATACATAAATATATATGTAAATAAATATACTCATAAAAAATTACTTTATTTAATTAATCACAATAAAATAATTGCTTTTCACATTCAAGAACACGTGCAAAGAAAAATGGCAAGAGGTATTTTAAAATAAAATTTTAAATATATCAGAAGTAGATATGAAAAAAATTGTCCTACAAAATTCAAAAATATCCATAATAGACAAGGAGAGAGTAGAGTCGATAATTTAACTCGTTTCCGACGGATTTTGACCCAATCCAATCCTATGAGATCGGATTTTTTTTTTTAAATTTAAATTTTGGGTCGGGTCAAGTCGAGTAAGGTTATGAAACAATCAGGTTCGAGTTTTAGACAAATCCGACTTGATATTATATAAAAAATTATTTTATAATTAATTATTTAATTTTTATATATATATATGTTTTATATAGTGATATTTTTAAATATTTATATTTAAAAATTAATATTTTATATTTTAAAAAATAATATTTTATTAATTTCGAGTCGAGTCGAATCGGATCAGATCGGATACGATTTATATAGTATTTAATCAAAATCGAGTTTGAGTATGAAAAAATAAAAAAATAAAAAATTTTTTAAATAAAATCAAATTCGAATTTAATAACACATAAAATCGAATCGAATTCGGAGCGAGTAAAATCCGTTTTGAACTGTCAACCCTAAAAGAGAGACGTAACAACGCCCAAAGAAATTCACGAGAAAGAGCAAGATGATGATTTGAGAAACAAGAGATTTTTCTACTGATTTCTAAAGTCAGTTTGGGGCTCAATTAATTGAATCACGTTTTTCGGTTGTCTTTTTTTTTTTTTTTTTCCCAATTTTTTCCCATTACACTCAGCATTTTGGATTTGGGTCCAACTTATCTCAACTTCATTCTACTTATGTAATAATGTATATATAATCCCTTTTTTTTTTCTTACTTTTCCTTTATTCGTCCACGTAAACATAAAAGAAATTGATTAATTATTATGCATCAATTAAGCACCATTAGTGCTAAGTACAGAAGAAAATGATAATTACAAGTGTTAGGAACAAGATTATTTGCCTTTTAGACTAAGTTTACTATTGCTTTTTTAATCATTAATTAAGGTCAAATGACTTCTCTAATGGGTCCAAAATTCAAATCTTACCTTAACTTTATGATATTTCTAAAAAGAGTTCAAAGGAAAATTAATAAAATTGTAATGAAATTCCTGACTTTATTTAAAAAAAAAAAAACTTTGGACAAAAAAAAAAAACTACCATCGTAATTTACTTTCACATGTAAATCACTCCAAGCGGTGTTTGTTTTATTTCTAACGTTTCGAGGGTAATGAGAAAATGAGCAGAAAATAAGAAGCAAAGTAATAAATGCTGAGCGGAGAGAAGGGACCAAGAGGGAGGAGACCGGTCGGCTGCTTTTTTGACTTGCTCTTCAAATAATGCTGCCCACTAATTCACTAACTTTTGAATTCTTCTTCCAATCGAACAACATGTGGATCCAAAGTACAAAAGGTTAACAGTTATGTTTTCTAGACTACCAAACCGTTTCTGGATTCATATGATTCTCTCTTGGTTTAGTCATAAAAATTTTTGTTTGAAATTCCAATCCATGGATTTTAATGATTTTAATATGGATGAAATATTTATCATAATTATACTTTTTTTATATTTGTAATTTTATTAAAAAATTAGTCTAAAGTGAGACCATTACTGTAAGGGATTCCGTTTTCCATATGGAAAAGCCGACGGAGCATCGGTTTTAATACGAACCAATTCTACGTGGAATAATAATAAAGTCAAGAAAAATTGAGAATTGTGGGGCCCTTCCTTCATCAAGCACCGTTGACTCAAATTACCTCTTTCCACTACGCGGGTTAATCGGGACGGTGGATTTTGGAACGCGTCAATCTCCGAGGCGTGTGTGTGTTTTCTTTTTTTTTTTCACACAAAGAAAGAACATGAAATCATCAAAATTTCAAATGACTTTCCTTTCGTCTCCTCATTGTGGGCCTTGGAATGGGCCCAATCCTTCATCACGTGGGCTCCACTTGATTGCCATCTGTCTCTTTTATCGTCACTGAAGCGTAGTCATCAGATTCAGCTGCGAGATGGTAGCTATTAGCTACCTTCCGTCCCTAAATATTCACGAGATTTGCACGTGCATTGTGATTTTTGCGAGAACCCAAAAATTAATTAAAAAAAGCTAACATTGATCCCATTAATTCAGGAACTGAAAAACATGTAGAAGAAAATTAATTTTAAATAATTAAATATATATTTTTTAAGAGAAGATTTTTAAATATTTTTTAATTACTCATAAAAAAATTCATTATTGTACTCCGTATATATTTTTAGATTTATTTTACAAAGGGTCTTGTAAAAGACACTTTTTGAGATTATTATATTAAGTTATTTATTTTTTAATTAAATAGTAATTTTTTATTAGTTAGTATACAAATCAATACAAATGTTTTATTGTTGCCTTTAAATTTAAAAAATCATTATCAATGTATAAAAACAAACTCTATTTTATTATGAATATTTACATTTGTGAAATCTAATAAAAAAATTTTCTCACCTCCAAATCTTCAACAATAAAAAATTACATAGCAAAAAAATATATATATTAAACACAAATAATGATGAGAGATCAATTTATATAGTATAATTTTTTTTAATTTTATATTATTTTAATTATTGATTTTAATAAATTTAAAAGATCAAATTAAATTATTTTTTATTTTTATTTATCTATCTCATATCTGAAATTTATTAAAATCAATAATTAAAAAATCTAAAATATTTTTAATTTTACACTATATAAATTATATAAATTGATCCCTACTGTAGATAACACAGTGGTATTTTTGGTAGCTAATATTAGTATAGTATTTGTTTACTACTGTTTGGTCTTCTTCTAAAGTCTCGAACTCCCTTTTTATTGCCGGGTCAGTTGCACCGTTCAAAGACTTCTCTCCCCCACCCTCATCTCTCTCTCTCTTTTGTTATATGGCCAAAGCCAGTGGACTCTCCATTGATTCAGATCCCATTTCCTTTTTTCTTCACAAGCCAACTGTCCTCAATTCTTTCCTTGAAGACACTTAAGACAACAACAACAACATCATCAACATTATCAACAATCCCAAGCACTTCAGCAAAATCTTGTTCCCTACTACATCTCCCATGGATGCTACAATAGCAAACAGGTCTCCTCCACCCATCATTCAGTTCCCTGTTAACCTCAACTGTTCCCATGATCAACAACACCCTTCTTTACCCACCTCTGATGATAATAGGAGGGTCGTTGGTGAGATGGATTTTTTCGCTGAAAAGAATAGTAAACTTGTTGGTGATGATGATGATGATGATGATGATGATGCTGATGCTGATGCCGATATCAAAGACTCCACCGATCGAACTGCCCTTGTGCTTAACGTTAACGTGATTCACCCACCCTTTACGTCTTTTTGCTAATTTATTTTTAGTCTCAGTTTTAATGGATTAGAATTTAGAATTAATGTTTTTTTTTCTTGATTTTCAGACTGGCCTAAATCTGTTAACTACGAATACTAGTAGCGATCAGTCCACAGTGGATGATGGGATATCTTCCAACATGGAAGATAAAAGAGCTAAAAATGAGGTGACTATTTGATTAAATTAAAATTGGAAACTTTATGTGATTTTGTGTTTAACATCATGTTATAAGACTACTGTGCCATTGGTTTTTTTTTTTTTCTTTTTTTTTTTCAGCTAGCTGTTTTACAAGCTGAGCTAGAACGAATGAACGCTGAGAATCAACGGTTAAGGGAGATGTTAAGCCAGGTAACTAGCAACTACAACACGGTACAGATGCATCTGGTCACCCTTATGCAGCAACAGCATGATGTGAAAGCTGAAAAAACTGAAGAACAAGATCAGATGATGAAAGAAAAATTAGAACAAAAGAAAACAAATGGAGGACTAATAGTGCCAAGACAGTTTATGGATCTTGGTCTAGCTGCTGCTACAGCAGCCGCACCTGATACTGATGAACCTTCGCTGTCTTCGTCGGAGGGGAGGAGTCACGACCGTTCTGGATCGCCTAATAATAATACAGAGGTAGCTTCCAGAGAATTTGGATTGAGGAAGCATGGGAGTAGTGAAGAAGGTCGGGGAACTGGAAGAGAAGACAGCCCAGATCAAGGATCCCAAGGTTGGGGTGCTAATAAGGTTCCAAGATTTAACTCTTCAAAAAATGTTGATCAAACTGAGACTACCATGAGGAAGGCACGAGTTTCTGTTCGAGCTAGATCAGAGGCGCCTATGGTATGAAACTCGATTGAATTGAACAGAATCAAATTATGTGGCTTTTAAATTCATTCGTTTTATGTCTTATTCTGAATTAAATTGATTGGATTTTATGTTTTTTTTTTTTTTAAAGATCACAGATGGATGCCAATGGAGAAAGTATGGACAGAAAATGGCCAAAGGAAATCCATGTCCTCGAGCATATTATCGATGTACCATGGCTGCTGGTTGCCCAGTTAGAAAACAGGTACTCTCCAAAGTTTTTCCTTCAAGCTTTCTTTTTTCTTTTATTTTCTAGCTGATTCTAGCATATATCAGTACTTTCAGGATTAGTATAACAGGTTTTTCAAATTACTTTCGAAACTATAAATTCATTTTCCATTTTCTTTTCTGAGAGCAGGTAACCTGTACCTTTCAAGGGATCGCTAAAGGTTTTGCATTAAATATCGAAAGTGAAAAGTTCGTTGTACTTGTAACTTTAAATGATGCGTTGAAATTTAATTAATATATAACACACTAGAGGCCGTTCCGGAGGAGTTGCATTACATTATTGGAGAAATTTGTCTGATCATCAATGAAAAAATTAAAAAAAATTCTCTCGATGTTACTTGATTATTGTTGAATATTGTTACAGGTACAAAGATGTGCAGAAGATCGAACAATTCTCATCACCACATATGAAGGAAATCACAATCACCCTTTGCCTCCAGCTGCAATGGCGATGGCGTCAACCACATCATCTGCAGCACGAATGCTGCTATCAGGTTCTATGTCCAGTGCTGATGGACTAATCAACTCGAATTTCCTCACAAGAACTCTCCTGCCGTGCTCCTCTAGCATGGCTACTATATCAGCTTCAGCCCCATTCCCCACTGTTACCTTGGACCTAACACAGACACCAAACCCTCTACAGTTCCCAAGGCCACCAGGCCAGTTCCAGGTCCCATTTCCAAACCCACCACACAATCTTGCCAATTCCCCAGCTGCACTGCTACCTCAAATTTTTGGTCAGGCACTTTACAACCAATCCAAATTCTCTGGTCTACAGATGTCTCAAGATGTGGAACGACCTCAATTGGGTCACCAACTGCAACAGGGGCAGCAAAATTCACTTGCCGACACTGTAAACGCAGCCACTGCTGCCATCGCAGCTGATCCTAATTTCACTGCAGCTCTAGCAGCAGCTATTACCTCTATTATCGGGAGTTCTCACCCCAACAACATCCCTAATGGGACCAGCCCCACTTCTGCCACCAACAGTAGTGGCAATGTTACTACTACTAGCAACAGCAACAGCAATGGCAACAATAAAATCAGCAATTCCAGTTTTGCTGCAAATTAGAAGAAGTTGAAACCACCTTCAATTCTTTTTTTTTTTTTTTTGTGGAGGAAGAGGGACATGCACTCTTCTTTTTTTTTTTTCTTTTTATCAGGAAGAAACTGCAAATTATACATATGTCTAGCCATTTTGAATAATTTGTTCCAACTTGTATGTCAATGCAAAGTCCAAAAAATATTATAAAAAAAGAAAGATCGAAAAGAAATGCAAAAAAAAAAAAAAAGAATACTGATTAAAGTATTACTTCCTACTACCAACTATTATTACTCTTTGTATGGATCCGGAAAATAGAGGAAAGGGTGTTCAACTTTCTATCCAATTGTTTATCAATTTTTCTCAATTTGTATCTTTTCTTGCCAGGAAGAGGAAAATAACAAAAAGAAATAGATGAAAGAAGAGAAGACTCAATTCAATTCTATTCTTGCTTGGAGTTACGTGTATGTAATGTGTGGTTATAAAGAAAAGCAGTCAATTCGTCAGTGTTTAAAAAGGGTGGGGTTTGTTTGACACGTAAAGAAAGACCGAACAACATTTTGGTTGTCACGTTCTGAAAATGTCTCTAGCTGATTTTAGCCAAACTTGGGTTTTGGCCGATTGAAAAAGACTTGCTGGAGATCACGTCCATTCACGTTGGAATCAAAGTTTTAAGAGAATATCCGTGCACTTGTTATCGGTAGTCTCTAGCTTGAAATTGAAATATATATCACGATATATCTCACGAGTAAGTTACTTATTGTCAATGGCAACTTTTTCTTTTTCTGTTTTTTTTTTTTTTAATTTAACACTCTCAAATATTGAATTTTGATTCATAAAATTAAAAGTCTAATAGTTATATTATACTATTGTCGACAATGTCACCATTATTTTTCTTATATAAAAGATGTTTTAATTTGAAATAAAAAAGAGATTATAAATATTTTAAATTTAAGAATAATTATATAAATTAATTAAATTAAAATTAAAATTTAATATTATTTTCATTTGCGCTGTGCATATTTTTTATGACAAATAAGATTTACATGCCTAATTGTGGTAGCCGAAAAGAAAATTGTACTGAACATAATATTAAGTGTATTTTACATTGCTAGGTTTATAACAAGGGGAAAAGAAAAACTTGGGTTCAAAGAAAATGGTTGATTTACGCGTTTTGCATGCATATGCATCATTAAGATGATAGTATAGTCATGGTTGGCCTGTTTGATCACCAAGTCATATTTCCAGAAGGAAGCAGGGTCGTTGTTACTCTGTTTTAGAGATATTGAGATTGTAACCAAACTTGATCTGTTCGCACAGGAATTATGAAGGAATGGGATCGGTCCCCTTTCAAGGGTTTGAACCAAATTATATATATACATATATATATATATATGAAAGTTTGAATTGAATTTTTTACTGTAATAGTTATTTAGTTAAAGAATGCACACATAAATTTTTTAAAATCCATAATTTTTAAATATTAACTTAAAAATATTTCAATTAACCCAAAAGTCAATCAAGTGTTCGGATTAAATCATATGAAAAGATTAATTTGTTATGCCTGGTGGCTTAGGCTTAGCCCACGACGGACTCTGAGGATGGGGTTTCTCTAGAATGGAAAAATTCAACCTTAGAGTCTGCTAGTAAAGCGAGGGAGCAGAAGAAAAAAACTATTTTTGTCTAGGCGTACCTTCCTAAGACAAAAATAGAATTTAGGCTGGGCTCCATCTTGTACAATCATAGCCTAAATTATAATTTATAGAGCTTGAAATTTACATTTACAATAAAAATTTGCTCTATAAAAAGCTGCACAAAATATCTAACGTAATATATATTTAAATTTTATTTTTATACATTTTCAGTGTAAATATTTTTTAAGTTACTTTTTAATATAAAATTGTAACTTTACAAATGAAATTAAGATATTGATACATTTTTTTTAATTAATTTTTTTATTTTTTAAATATACTCTAAGACCTACTAATTTCGCTTTTAGAATTTTAAAAATTTTATTAATAATTGATGAAAGAATTTCTCATTATTTATATTATAATATAATAAAAAAAATAAAAATTATAGTAAATTTTTTTGAGCTGCCTCCTTGTTCTAGTGCAATCCAAATAGAAGAGGTGTCCAAAACCCAGCAAAATGTTGGGTTGGGTAAGGCCTCAGGCGGAGTGAGCCTGATTTATCCCAAAGTCTCATCAAATCATCGTTGCAAAAGAGATCATCGGCTAAAATTCAGAGTCCGATTGAGGTTTGTAATTTGTCCTAATTCTCATTTTAACGACCGCCCTCGGTTCTGGCAAAGATTTGGGAAAAAAAAAGTGGAAATAAATAAATGATTAAAGAGCAGAATCGATTCTTAGTTTTATTTTTTTTAATTCATACTTAATTATCGTGACTACAATAGCATCTCACAAAAATTAATATTAAAATTTTAAAATCATAAAAAATAAATATACTTAATCTTATAATTATATTTAAAATTAATTTTTTAATATAATATTATTATATAATTTATTGCTAATGTATAACATGATATATTGACAGTATATTAAATATTATTTTTTAAAATAATTTTTATTTTTAATTAAAAACTTATGTTTGATATATTATTAATGTATAATTATTATATACTGTTAATGAAATATAAAAAAATTAATTTTTTATAAAATTACATGCATTATGATAAATTAAAATCACATTAAATCTTTATAATTTAGTAATTTGGTCATTTTGTTTCTTGAAATTCATCACAGTAAAAATGTTATTTGAAATAATAGCATAGCACAGAGATATTTTTGCTTTGAGTTGCTCTAATGCTATTATTAAACATGAACAAGTGTATGATTTACCGCAAAGGCGACTTAAATCTCTCTCCGGTGTTGGTTTCTGTTTTCCATTTTTTTTCCTCTTTTGTGTCTGAATACTTTTTTTTTCCTTTGACAGGGTGTTTGATTTTCCTTGTCACCCTTCCAGAGATGGAGAGGTCCATCTCCCTCGTTTTCCTTTCATTCCTACTGTTTTTCAATGGTTTTTTCTTCTTTCAGGTTCATGCTTCCGAAACCATACCTAGACCCAATGGAAAGGTTAGGTTTAAGCTGATACACAGGCACTCACCTGAGCTTGGAGAAGATCCTGGAACGACCCTTGGACCCCCAAGCAGTCCCCGGGAACGCATAAAACAGCTGGTGCATAGCGACAGTGCTAGACTACATACAATTTCACAAAGGCTAGCCCCAAGAAGGAAGAATTTCGAGGTGAAGGTGTTGGGAAAAAGCAATTTGGTGGAGCTCCCAATGCGATCAGCTGCTGACATAGGTGCAGGGCAATACTTTGTTTCATTCAGGGTGGGGAGCCCTCCAAAGAAGTTTATTATGATAACAGATACAGGGAGCAGCCTTACCTGGCTGAAATGCAAATATGAGTGCAATAATTGTTCCAGGGACAGGGCCATGCTTCATGAGAGGATATTTCAAGCTAAAAAATCACCTACCTTTAAGCCAATTCCATGCTCCTCCGACATTTGCAAGGTTGATCTCTCAGAATGTTTCTCTTTGGCCCGTTGTGCTATGCCAACGGCTCCTTGTGCCTATGATTACAGGTAGATCTAAATCACCTCTAATTCCTTTCTATTTGTTGATATTCACTCCAACAATAATTATTTGTTTGATATATCGTTCCTTTCTTTCCTGTAATCCCATAAACTTTTATTATTTAAAATATAAGACGTAGATAGAATTACATTTGAATATTTGATTTGATTGATGATTGAATTTTATTATAAATAGGGTTCAAATCTTTTTTTTTTAATAAAAAAATAAGGTAGCATTAAATAAGATAAATAAAAGTAGATAAAAGATCATATGATTTTTCTTATATTGTCTTATATGTACTTAATATATTTGATAAATAATGTACGATTAAATGTGAGTTGTGACTAAGTTATATTTAATTTGATGCAAAGATTAATATATGATTGATATTGTAATATAGAATGATTCTTTCTTTATCATCGAAACCATTGTAGTATTCTATAAAATTTTTTAAAGAATTAAATTATTTTTGTCATATATCAAAATTGGCCATATATCTTTAACTATGGTAATGTTCCTTTTACTAACTGAACGTTACGCAGATATGCAGATGGCACAAGAGTGGTCGGAATATTTGGCAATGATACAGTTAAAGTCCGTCTCCGCGGAGGCCAAAAGATAAAAGTGACAGACGTGATGGTTGGGTGTAGCGAGACAATACGGGGAAACTTCCATGACATTGACGGAGTATTGGGGTTAGGTTTTAACCAGCATTCTTTTGCAGTGAAAGTAGCTAGGAAGTTTGGGCACAAGTTTTCGTACTGCTTGGTTGATCATTTGAGTCCAAGTAGTCTTGTCAACTTTCTTGTCTTTGGTGAAGTTGCTGCTTCTCCAGTGCCAAAAATGCAGTACACAGAGTTGATCCTTGGAATACTAAACCCATATTATGCTGTAAATGTTTCTGGCATCTCAATAAATGGTAAAATGTTGGATATCCCATCAAATGCATGGGATATTAATGGTGATGGTGGGGTTATTATGGACTCAGGTTCAAGTTTAACATACCTGGTGAAACCTGTCTTTGATCAAGTCATTGCTGCTTTTCAGGCTCCTCTAAGCAGATTTAAGAAACTGGACTTGAACTTGGGGCCAGATCATTGTTTCAGTGATGCAGAGTTTGAGCAGTCGTTGATGCCAAAACTGGCAATCCATTTTGCTGATGGAGCTAAGTTGGAGCCGCCATTGAAAAGCTATGTCATTGATGCTGAAGATGGGGTGAAGTGTCTAGGCTTTGCCTCCACGTTTTGGCCTGGAACTTCAGTGATTGGTAACATCATGCAGCAAAATCATTTGTGGCAATTTGATCTGTTAAACAGCAAGTTGGGTTTTGCTCCTTCAAGCTGTACATTTGATTGATCATCAAAGGAATTCAATTATCCTATCGTTGGAGCACTCTATTTGGAAGTCATGTCAGCAGCTCTCCGGTGTATCTTTATCATCATGTATGCATATTCATAAAACAAAATATATATACTTACCATGGATTTATGTAATTCATGATCCCTAGCTTTTTCGGATTCTTTAAGGAAGCTTGACTGAGATAGAAAATAATAAACCCATAAAAGCCAAATTCCAAACTAAGTTTTTGGAAGAAAAAAAAATTATTACATAACTTTTTTATCCTATAAGTAATAGGGTTAATAAATAAAAATGTGACAACTAATTCAATTAGTTGCTTAATTATATATGGGTTTACTATCATGCGTCCATCAAATCAAAGTAATGAAAAGTGCAAACCTCTATACATGTTCAAATAACAATCTTTAAAATGTTTAATTGACGTATACGAAGATGAAAACTCTTAAATGTGTTAGGAGCATATAATGATAAAAAAAGTATAGTGATTTTTTTCTTTCTCTCAATCTTTAGCAAAAAATAAGGACATCTTGATCATTTGTGTCAACATGATATATAAAGTTGGTCTAATATCTCTAGTGTCACTTCAGCTCTGCTCATGTCCCCTTTTTGTCCCCTTCACTTTACTTATAAATATGGAGACTTATATACCATGAAGCCATGTTCATCTAGCTTGTACCTTTTTTTTTCCTACTTTCTCAGTTTTTTCCAAAATAATCCTTACTAACTTATGCGTCAGAGTGCAAATGCAGAAAACACTTTTGTCTTTGCCTCTAACTCTTCTTACCTTTTGTTTTTACAGGATTATCCTCAAGTTGGAGCTCGGTACCAACATTTGACGTGTCAGGTAGGAGGTCGGCATGTTCATGATAACTGAGCACAAAATAATGCCATCCAGAAAAAGAACCCAAAAGAAAGAAGAGACAGTTGCTCCAGCTGGAATAGAAACTCACCAAAGCCAACATTTTGTCTACCCAACGCAACCACAGGCTGGGCTAACTATAGAGCAATTTCAAGCTGCAAATACAAGCTCTCGAATAGATGCTCTAAACTATAACCCCACCATAAGTCTCCAAAATACCATACTTAGTCACACTAGGTCGGGACGCTGTTATCGAATAGTCAAACTATGAAGAGACGAAACCCTCATCGGCCTCCAAAGAAGAAGAGCACACCAATCCAACCCCTCACCACCCTACCTATAATTCTACACATGCCACAACCCAAAAGTCCAAACAAACAGACTATAAACCCAAAACCTAACAAAGATTTGGAAACTCGAATTTGGGCCATGGAGAAAGAACTTAAAACGAAACCAGTAGCATTTAAGGATAAACTCAAAGTTTTAGAGACCTTGCCCTTTACTAAAGCTATCGATAAAGTCGTACCTCTCAAAAGATTCAAAATGTTGACCTTGGAGACATATAATAATACTTTCAATCCCTTTGATCATTTAGAACTTTATAGAACTAATATGATGATATAAGGGGCAGATGAAACTCTAATGTGCAAGGGTCTGGCCACTACTTTGAAAGATGTAGCTCGATCTTAGTATAGTAGTTTGAGTTAAGGTCAATCACTACTTTCAAGGAGCTGAGCCACTCATTCTTATCCCTATTCATGAGTAGCCAAATAGTTAAAAAAATAACCCTAAGCCTGATGTTAATTCATCAAAGGCAAAATGAAACTTTAAAAGTTATGTTATACGTTTTAACGGGAAAGCTCTACAGGTCAAAGACATAGAACAGATGGTCATTGTTATTGCATTGACCAGTGGATTCAATGATAAAGAGTACCACTTGAAAATGACATTATCGCTAGAACCACCTAAAACTCTAGTTGACGTCTTACTAATAGTAGAAAAATATATCAATGTTGAAGCTATAATGAAAACAAACAGAGATGAGAGAGGCTCATCCCCTCTCTTCGATGGTTGAGGTGAGAGAGGCTCATCTTTTTTCCTTAGTAAAAAAAAGATAAAAAATTATATGATCTTCCCCTAAAAAGGAGACAACATAATGCTAGAAGCCCCAGTAAAAAAAAATGCTACACTGCAATGAATACCTCAGGTAAAAGGATTTTGATGCAAATTGAAAAAAATCTTGACCTCAGATGGCTTAAGCCACTGAGACAAAATACAAGGTAGGATTTGAATAAAAGATGTACCTTCCATTAGGACATTGGCCATAATACAAAAGACTATGTCGACTTGAAAAATAAGATTGAAGCTTTAATTATACGAGGTCAACTGAAAAGGTTTGTCGAACAAAGAAGAGAATATCAGTTAGAAGAGACTATAGAAATAACTACAGAGCACCCATCCAGGACAAAGATGAAAAACCAGATTAGGGAAGAAGGGATGCCTAAGAGGATGAGCCAAATTAATAAGAAGGTCGAGCTAACAATAATAGGCCAATTATCAAGGTTATTAACGCGATCACAAGAAGCAACTCCACTTCGACAAAAAAGAAGTTTAATCTGCGCTAGATAATGGTAATAGGCATCTCAGCTAAAAAATAAAAAAAATGGAAATACCATCAGCTTTGAAGATTTAAAAGGGATCCAACACCCATATGATGATGTCATAGTAATCACATCCTTGGTCTATAACTATGTGATAAAAAAATCTTATTTGACATTTGGAGTTTGATCAACGTTATGTACTATGGCTGTTTCAAGAAAATAAAGATTGGCAAATATCAGTTGAAGTTAATCACTACAACATTAGTAGGGTTTAAAAATGAATAGGTACCAATAAAAAAAACCATCAAACTTTCGATCACCTTGGGACTAGAGCCAAAGATGATCACCTCGATTGTGGACTTCATGGTAATAGATATCTCGTTTGCCTACAATATAATATTAGACTAACTCAACCAGTCTATTGTATGGCTTATAGGTTTAACTCCTTACTTAAAAATGAAATTCCTAACACCTACATGGGTAGAAAAAGTTTAGATAAACTAGTCCACAGTGTGATAATGTTATGTTATAATGATGAAGGGTAGGATTAGAAAACAGATAGGTAGCTTGGCTAATACCGAGGTGGAAGACAAAAAGAAACTGACATAAAAAGTTAACAAAGAGCAAAAAATTGACAACGAAAGCACAGAACGTAAGGCTGGCTTGACAAAAATATCCTTTTAAGCCATTCTGAGCTCTTAAGCTTCGTAAAAGTTTAATTTTATTCTTATTTTTTAATTTTTTAAGACAATTGTAAAAGCAACCAAGCTCTTAAGGTGGCGTAAAAAATTAATGATCCCAACCTATGAAACAAAAAGAGATAATCGATCAAATATCAGACTTAGATGAAAACTGACTCGAGCCGACTAAGAACCCTATGATAATTCTATTTTGGAATAATACTCCTTAAAAATACATGCAGATTAAAGCTAAGCTCTAGCATAAAGACCAATTGATTCAACTTATAAAAGATAATGCCGACCTGTTTACTAGGACGTCGTCCAATATGCTCCGGATTGATACCAAAGTAATGGTCTACAGATTACATACTAAGCCTGAGGTCAAATAGGTCAGCCAAAAAAAGAACTTTTATCCCAAAAAGACAATAGGCTATCAAAAAGAGGTTAAAAATTATTACAAGCTGACTTTATCAAGAAGGTTTACTACCCTGAATAGATAGCTAATATGGTCATGTTCAAAAAGCACAGTAAAAAATAAAGAATATGTGTGAACTTTATTGATCTGACTAAGACTTGTCTAAAGGATAGCTTTTCTCTTCCTAGCATAGATCGGCTAGTGGATGATAGTGTTGAGCATGGCCTCTTCAGCTTTATGGATGCTTATTTTGGCTACAATCATATTAAGATATTATAAAAGACAAGGATAAAATAGCCTTTATTATCAAGAAAGGCTTTTATTGCTCATGATCATGCCCTTCGGACTGAAAAATACAAGTGCACCAAAGCTTCAAAAGCTAGATCCATCATAATATGGAGGTATATGTAGACGATATGATAGTCAAGAGCAAGAGTTTGATAGAGTATATGAAAGACTTTAAAGAAACCTTCAACACTCTGAAAAAATATAATATGAGATTCAACTTGAGCAAATATGCTTTTAGGGTTACATTGGACAAGTTTCTTAACTACATAATCAATCAAAAAGAGATAAAGGCAAACCCGAGAAGGTTCAAGCAATTTTAGAAATAAAAGTATTGACCTCGATAAAAGAGGTACGAAGCTAACAGGTAGAATAGCTGCACTCAATCGATTCATGTCCAGATCGACAAAACGATATCTACCATTCTTCAAAACTCTCAGAAATGACACTGACTTTAGATAGACTATTCCATGCCAAAAAGCTTTCGATAAACTTAAAGAGTTTTTATCTTCTCCCGTCTATCTTGTCAAAATCGAAAACTAACAAAACACTATACTTGTACTTGGCTAGCATAGATCAAGCTGTCAACTCAGTTCTAATTTTAAAAAATATTGAGAAACAATGACTAATCTATTTTGTAAGCAAAGTATTGACAAGGCTTGAAGTTAACTATAACAGTATTGAGAAATTGGCATATACCATGATCACCTCGACCAAAAAACTCAGGTCATATTTTCAGGCCCACACGATCTATGTCTTGATGGATTAACCATTGAGGCAGGTCTTACAGAAGCCTAAAATGTTAAGAAGGCTAATCAAATAGGTAATAAAACTCAACGAATTTGATATGTATTTTTTTTACCCAAATTGGCATTAAAATCATAGGTGCTGAGTGACTTTATAGTAAAGTGCACCTTAACACAATCGAAGGGACAATCAGAAAAGAAAGAGCAAACCTCAAATAAAAATAATTAGAAGCTATTTATCGACAGATCTACTATAAGTCAGGGTGGAGGAGCTGACCTCATTCTAATTAGTTTGAAAGGTCTGCAGTACTCATATGCCTTGAGATTCAAGTTCAGAGCATCCAACAATGAAGCAAAATATAATGCCCTGATAGTTAGCCTAAAGTTGACAGTCGAGCTAAATGTTTAACACATAACCGCTTATAATGTCTCCCAACTAGTGGTTAGTTAGGTAAATGGGGAGTTCGAAGCTCAGAAAGATGAAATTTGAAAGTACCTTGACAATGCACTAGCTTTGATAATTGACTTCAATAAAGTCAATATGAAAAAGATATCGAGGTCAGCAAACTCAATAGCATACTTTCTGTCTAAGTTGACTTCAAG